TGGAAAATGTTTCCAATATTGTCGGAAAAATTCAGCTTTTAAATTTCCTAACTCGGGAGTTTTGCTATATACACTTGATGTGTTCTGTTGTTGGGTGCACCTCACTAACGCCGTCCCTCTTTTTGCCCTCGCAGATGTACGACTTTGACGGCGACTTTGAGACGGACTACACGGGCGCGACGGACGTTCGCCTGTCGGGCCTCATCGACAAGTACAACGGCTTCCCGTACCTGCCGCACTGGCGCCGCGAGGAGGGCGACGGCCCCACCACCTGCAGCAACGTCCAGCTGGCGTCCGACGCCACCAAGTTCCCCTCGTACATCCAGCCCAACCAGACCCTGTCTTTCTTCAGGAAGTCCATGTGCCGCTCCATGCCGATGGTGAGTCGTCGTTCGCAGCAGGATTGCGTGTGTAGGATAATCGAGCAAAAGCACGAGGTCGATAGAGTTGAATAAATCGCGAAGCAGCAAATAGATAAAGCCGAGCGGGCATCGGCTGCACCACTGCATCGGCTGCACCGCCTCGGCCGACGCCTGCTCGGCCGCAACGCATCGGCCGACGCCGCACCAGCCGCACGCGGCGCGGTCGAGGCGACGTGGAGGAAGGGCGACTGGTGCTGACCCTAGCCTGGGTCAGGAGCGCGCGCAAAACGTGCGCGGCGGATAACTCAGACACGTGACGCGGCGACAATCGCTTATCTAAGTGGGTTATTGGAAAAGAAAAGGGGAAAGGGGAGGCTGGCGACGCGGTTCGAACTAGCAGCTGGTATGGGCCTACCGGGGACGGGGCCGCCGGGCAGGGCTGCCGACACCCCATTTCCGCTCTCTGCGACCCCTCCCTCCCCTCCCTCCCCCTCCTCTTTCTCTTCCTCCACGCCCGCGCCCGTCTCTTCTTCTCTCTGCGGCCTTGACACCCAAAGGGCTGCTTATTATTTTTTCCCAGCCTGTATTTGTGTGTCGCGCTCGACCCGGGTTGTTGCTGTCCCCATTACCGCTACGGCTTGTCGTTGCGCCCGCCGGCGGGGAGGGAAGAGCAAAACTCGATTTCGAAATGTTTTTAGAGATTCGATTAAAAAGTAGTCTTTTTGTTTTTAAAAAATGCGGTGTAGACTTAATTTCTCTATTCTTACTGAGCCTGCTAACAGCTAAATTTCCTTGTTTGCCTCAGGTGCGTGTGGGCGAAGGCACCAACTCCGGCATGGACGGTTACCTGTACCACTTCGTTGAAGACGCACTAGACAACGGCAAGGTGAACAAGGACAACAAATGTTTCTGCAGGAACGGTAAATGCCTTCCCGACGGCCTGATCGACGTCACCGACTGCTACTACGGTAAGTGTGGCTTCGGTAAACATTCCAAGCCAAAACACTCGCCAAAATGTCATTTTGAAACTGTCCACTTCCTTGTCAGAGGTTTTTCGCACAGTAGCTTTTCCCTGGTACTTATAACATTTGGGCACATCAAATATCATTTTTGCTCACTCCCATTGACCATTATTTTATCTCTACACAGGCTTCCCCATCGCCGTGGGCTACCCGCACATGTACCGGGCCGACCCCGCTGTCCGCGACGCCGTCGAGGGATTCAACCCAGACCCCTCAATCCACAGGACCGAATTCTTAATCGAACCGGTAAGTGTGTGTGTGTGT